AAAATAGGAAATGCAGCAGGAAGCAGAAAGCCCAGCAAGACATGGATCATGAATCTCAAAAAACAATGAGATCCTTTAAGAGTGAGGACTCAGAGCTGGAGAGACGGCTCAGTGGTTAAGAGTACCGGCTGCTCTTGCAGAGGAGCTGGGTTTGATTTCTAGCAACTACATGGCAGCTAACAACCATCTATAACTCCAGCTTCAGGGGATCCAGTACCGTCTTCTGTCCTCCATGGGCACTGCACAACATGGGTGCACTTACACACATGCAGGCAATACACTCATGCACATAAAATAATTTAAAAAGAAAATATATATATACACACACAAAAAAAAAATATATATATATATGTATCCCCCCGCCCCCGGAGTTGAGGACTGAACCCAGGGCCTTGCGCTTACTAGGCAAGCACTCTGCCACTGAGCTAAATCCCCAACCCCCAATAAAATATATCTTAAAAAATAAATAAATAGCCGGGCGTGGTAGCCCACGCCTTTAGTCCCAGCACTCGGGAGGCAGAGGCAGGCAGATCTCTGTGAGTTCAAGGCCACCCTGGTCTACATAAGTGAGTTCCAGGACAGCTGGGGCTATAGGGAAACCCTGTCTCAAAAAGACCAAAATGAAATGAAAAGAAAAGAAAAGAAAAGAAAAGAAAAGAAAAGAAGAGAAAGAAAAGGAGAAAAGAAAAGAAAAGAAAAGAAAAGAAAAGAAAAGAAAAGAAAAGAAAAGAAAAGAAGAAGGGGAAGGGGAAGGGGAAGGGGAAGGGGAAGGAAGACAGAGGACTCACAGGACCACATCTGTATTTTGCAAAGATCAGGCAAGGTGTAGAGAACTGACTAAAGGAAGTAAGAGTCAGAAATGTGTTTCCCAGCCTATCAATCTCCATAATATAGCAGCAGAAACACGGGAACTGAAACATGGAAACATTACTAATATACAAATGCCTTCTAAAAGCACATCAAACTTCCTATCAACTCTTGGAATGTAAATGCAGGGAAACTTTAAGAACTGAAGTCCCAACTCCTTGCAAAGAAAGAACACCTCTTCTAAGCACCCGCTAGGAAGGCTCACTGCCAGAGGTGGGGACGGGGTTTGAGCTGTGAGCTCAACTAACACTTTGACTTCTATCTTTACACATTTTGTTTTGTTGAAACCACTCAGTAGAAATTAAGATGTACTGAGTGTGGTAGTACAGGCCTTTAATACCAACACTTAGGAGGCAAAGGCAGATCTCTGTGAGTTGAGGCCAGCCTGGTCTACACAGGGAGTTCCAAGTCAGTCTGGGCTACATAGCTAGTTCCCAAAAAATAGTAATTCATCAGTATTGGTTTCAGGACAGGAAAGAAGACTAAAAAAAGAAAGTAACTGATCTGAGGTATTTTTCTTTCCTTTTCTTGGCAAAACTAGAGATTGAATATATAGGGCTTGAGAATGCTAAGCAAGCATTCTATCACTGAACTATAGTCTCCAGTCATCTTTTTGCTTTTTTTGTTGTTGTTGTTACTACTGTTATTTCAAATAGGGTCTCAGTTTGTAGCCTAGTCTGGCCTTGAACTCATACTGTAGTGAACGCTGAGCTCAAAAATACGTAAATCCCATTGCCTTGGCCTCCTCAATACTGAGATTACAAGAGTGTGGCACCGTGCTCTCCCTGCTCTGTTTTGACTTTTAAATAGCAAACCAAATCTCATCAAATTAACTCTCAAAAGTTATACATAGGAAGACCTTGTCTCAAAAAAAAAAAAAAAAAAAGACTTGTCTTCACTTTCAATTCTAATTAAAGCATTTACTCAGAAGTTATTTCCTGGATTAAAAGGGACAATAAATTTGAATTGGATCTTTGAGTCCCTCAGTAGAGCTGGGAAGATGGCTCAGCAGTTACGACCACTGGCTGCTCTTGCAGAGGACCCATATTTGGTTCCCAGCACCCACATGGCAGCTAATAACTGTCTATAACTCTAGTTTCAGAGGATCCAATACCTCCTTGCCCTCTGCGGGCACAGCACGACAAAGGTACACGTATATACATGCGGAAAACACATTCATATGCATAAAATAATAAAAAAATATTTTTTGCAAAGAGTCCCTAGGTAAGCAATATTAAATCTTCTCCCAATGTTCACTATAAATATCCATTTCCAGAGAAACTAACAGAGCATACTGACACTGTAAACATGAACCTGATTTTCTAGGCTTAAATGACCCCTCTGCTTCTGTACCTCGTGTCCTTCATGTTCTTCTTCCCTTGCCCAGTGATCCAGAGAAATCAACAATGGGAAGAGGCAGAAACTCACTCCAAGTTGCTTGATGCTCTTATATGCTTGCAATGTTCCGGGAGTTCATCTCCATTTAACATCTGAGTTAAAGTAGGATGAGCAAAAGCCACCATGACTAGCAAACTGAGGCCTGCCTCCCTAAAGTCTGGCTAGAACAGATGAGAACCAGGCAAAGATGGGGGAAGCCACAAGTAGCAAAGTCCTATCTGCAAGGGCCTTCCACAAGCAGGAACAAGTGAGCTTCCAGAGTGAGGCTCCAGCTAGGCGTAGCTGAAAGGGACCTCAGTTCAATACACTCTTCCATACTCAGCTTCTTGGAACTCTTCTGTTCCAACACTGGCAAACAGAGCAAATGCTGAAATTAAGATGGGTAGTTCACCTAAGCATTTTGTCCATTTTATAGCATTTTCTGAGTTCCTATCATGAGAAACTGAGCAGAAACAAGGCTGCCCAAGGTAGAACCAGAGTCCTACTTTCAAGAACTCATTCAAAAGGCAAGAAAGCTTATATGGCCATTAAAAAAGCTGTGTGCTGCGCTTAGGAAGGGAGAACAAGTAGTGGTTCATGTCCAACACCAATCTGGACAAAGGTCTAGGGTCAGGACAGGTCACCTCAAATTTGGGAACAGCCACACTCTGTAGTAAATGGAGAAACAGAAGAGAAAAGCAGTCAGGAGACAAGATGCTAATCTGAAGCATGTATTCTACAGTCATGAGCAATGTACCAGCCAACACTAGACTGGAATATATAAACATCAAGATGTAGATTCAGGGCTCAGTGGTTGAGGGCTTACCTAACATGCTCTAGGTCCACAGTTCAATCTGGAATACCACCCCACAAAAAAATTAAAAAATAAATGAAACAGACAGACAAAAAATCTGGGTGTAGCCACTCATGTCTGTAATTTTAGCATAAGGGGCAGAGACAGAAGGATTGGCCAAAGCGCAAAGCCATCCTAGTCTATATACCAAGTTCTAGGCCAGTCATAGCTACACAGCAAGACTGAACTTAAAAAAAAAAGGCCAGTGAGATGGCTCTAGCAGTTAAAGACACCGGCAACCAAGCTTCACCGCCAGTGACTGCGTTCAACTCCTGAAACTACACGACGGCAAAAGAACCAACTCTTACAAGTTGTGTTCTGACTTCACACATGCACTGACACGTGTGTTCTGACTTCCACACATGCACCATGACACATGTGTTGACTTCCACACATGCACATCTCTCTCTCCCTCTCTCTCTCACACACACACACACACACACACAAATAAATGTAATAAAATATTTTTAAAGCTGTCTGTCCTCGATTCTCACTGAGTAAATCATTTACTCAGAAGTATTTGCTGGATGTAAATAAATGCAGACGATAAGCTTGAGCATCACGGTAGGTGCTTCTACATGTAAGGAGAAGACCTCCTACAATGCAGGTAGCACAATTTTACTAGTGGTTTCTATCCTCTTAGTCTAACTCCATCCACATTCACATTTTACAGTGAATTGTCAAAGCTGTAAAAAGGGAAGTAACTAATTAGTTCACATTCTGCCAGGTTAATAAATCTTTTTAAAGCCTGACTGCTTCTGGAAGGCATTTTAACAGATAAAAGGCTGGCTCCTCCCTAAGTAACCCACAGGTCTCTAACTCTGGACTCACTCTGTAGTTTCCACCCAAGTCTTCAATTGGTTCCTCACATTTCAGCAGGCAAAGGCCTAATAACAATAACCTTCTACAGCTTGGCTGTACAAACACCACCTAGTGATCACACTTGTAGGCTTATTACTTTTCTCTGTATTTCTTTACAAACTTCAAGCTACAATAGTTCACACATCACAATCAATATATCATATCTGTGCACAGACAAAAGTGTCCATTAATCTTTGAAATTCATTAAGTTGATTAGCTAATACTCTAAAAATCGAATGTTGACCCTTGGAATCAGTGGATTCTTCACAAAAGCTTAGACAAACGCACAAGCAAGCAGTTAAGTCCACACTCCACCAGCCATCAAGTCAAAGCGAACGCTGCTGGGCAGGGGAGAAAATGGAAGGAAAGAAAAGGAAATGACTCAAAGTCATCGAGTGCAAGGCATGTGAACCCTCCTCATCGCTAGTCGGCAGTTAAGATTTGAACTCTCTGGGTCTCGAGGAATGGGAGCACATATTGAGGACACACGGAAAGAGCTGTGTGCACACGGAGTGTTTCTGCAGTTGTGCTTCTTCAGATATTGCTGTTCGCGTCCATGTAAATATGTAACCAGAACTTGAACATGGAGAATTCAAGTTACAAGTCTCAGCTTCCTAGGCAGGGGTGCTTCCTAGCTTAGTTTCCCTGCGCATGACCTGACTTCAAATAAAGTTAATATAGTCCACGCATGATCTTGGTCTTTAACTCATTTAAAAGTCAAGGCCTTCATAGTCTGGGTGCAGCCGGGCAGCACCGAGGAACTTCACCCTATGGTCTTTACGGGGTCGGTTGTAACACACACAGACACACACGACCCCAGAAATCTACACAACACACACACACACACACACACACGACCCCAGAAATCTACACAACACACACACACACTACACAACTCCACACATGTGCAAACACACACATACATACATACCTACACAAAGGAAGCCATCACAGGGAATACTCAGGCATAGGTACCAGACTAATGTACACACACACACACACACACACACACACACACACACACGCGACCCCAGCAATCTACCTGGAAATGATTCCTGTCAGAACATCCGTTTTGATACCGTTTCGTCGTCAATGTCAAACCCCGTCCTGGGCTGAGAAGGGAGAAAAGCTCAATGTTGCCCGAGCACCGGCAACACCCTCATCCATGTTCCTTCACCGAGAACCGAGACTAAGCACCCCCCAGATGGAGAACTCGGTCCCCCCGAAAACCAAGACTAAGGCACCCCGAGCTGGGCAACTCGGTCCCCCCAACAATCAAAACTAAGCACCCGGAGATGGGGAACTCGGTCCCTCCGAAAACCGAGACTAAGCACCCCGAGACGGGGAACTCGGTACCCCCGACAATCAAGACTAAGCACTCCGAGATGGAGAACTCGGTCCCTCCAAAAACCAAGACTAAGCACCCCTTCACCGCCGAGAGGGAGGCAGCGGGGTCCGACTCGCCGCGCCCCGGCACTTCCGACGAGGCCGGACGGCCGGGCCCCAGCCCCAGCCCGGGTGACTCCGCGGGTCCCGCCAGC